TCATGCCTTACATGCAATACATACAAGTAATACCTGAACACATGAGAAATCTCACATGGTCTCAACACCTACAGTGTACTAATTTAAAAGTTTTATCTATCATTTAAAATCTTTAACAAATCTTTTGACAGCTAATTAGCACTCAGTATCTGGTTTAAATCAGCAAAGAGGCAAGAAGTAATTGGATTTAAATGGATTCCAGTAAAATAGATTATGAAAATTAGAAAATACTTCTAAATAGCAAACTATCATGATAGAACTCAATTCCATGAATTATGGCCAAATATACAAAAATATATAAGAAATATGCAAGTAATTGACCTTAGTCTTATTTGACTTCTGATTGTGGGGGCCCTTGAATAGGAACACCAAGAAATTCCTCTCCCAATTAAGTAGTAGACTTTAGTTTATTGTCATACTGCTGACCTGATGCAAATAAGATGTTTTCCTGGCCCATTTTAAAGGTGTAAGAATTTTCATTCTGAAACTAAATTGCTATTTTATCTTCACTGTAAGTTTTCAGTACTGTTCCTACTCTTAGTCGCTGTGGGCTGCTTCCTTGTAAAATAAAGATAACAGTTACCAAAGTCATTGTTCATACTGCAGATTTCTTGCTTCTTCAACTAACTTGTGTACATTTGGGTGTCTAAGTAGCCACTTCCTTCTTGGCATCTGTTTACTTTGTTCCTGCACAACCAACTTACAGTTTCATGGGGTTTCCACTTACAAATCACGTTTTTTATCATAGTGCTAAATATCTGTTGTTTTTGTTCTGAGAATCTATCTTGAATCCTGGCAGACTTCACAAGCCAACTATGAGAGCTACCTATCTAAGGATTTCCTTTCAGCCCAGCTTTGTAAAACATCCCAAACACATAAAATTATTTCTCTCTGACTTCTCCAGACAGGTCTGAGATTATTTTCCTGTGTGATTTTCCTGTGTAAGTCTGTAATGTGGAAAGCTGATTCTCCCAAAAGAAGCAGTCCAGTGGCATCAATTCTTAAAGGATTTCTGCTGTAATTACTTGTTATTGGGCCACTAATTCTCTTAAAAATCGTGAAATATTATATTAAGGAGAAAAGCTTAATCCTTTTCAAAGCATTCAGTTGTCTAGGCCAGCATTGCCCATTTACTAGGACCAAAGCAATTTTTGGCAGTATTAATAATGCTCAGGAACAGCAAAACTGTTTTCTGTTAGGAGAAAATAATTCATGCAGGGAATGATGCTGTGCTGGGAGATGTCCCCTGTGGAATTTCTCAAGGGCTGAAGACAATTGCAAAACTCATAGGCTTTTTGGTAAAATGTGTAATGGATTTTGACCTCACCTCATTAAACAGCAGTACATAATGCATTATGTTTAAAACCCTCAACTCGCAGAATAAACATTTTACAACAGTGTAAAAATGGAACAGAGAAGAACAGGAATCCTATCTTATTGTTAAATTACATGCTTCTGGAAATCATTCTGATTGGAATGTCTAAAACATGCAGGTATATACATATGAGAAAGTCATCCCATGCTTGCTTTCTTTCTCTTTTGATGAAGAGAAGTTAAACCCATCTAAGGTGCAGTTCATTGCATTTCTAAAATTCACCTCTAAAATAAGTCAGACAAATAATTCCCAGCAGGTTTATCTATCTCCATTGACCATAAAGGGAATCCCTAGGTTGACTGGCTCAGATATTCAATGCTGAATTGTGAGATGAATTCCAACATCAGAGACCATTGTGATGAGGCTGCGTAAAACTGGAAGATGTGAAAATTAATTGGCAAATTCTTTGGCAAATGGTGCTTCTCCTGCAAAATTTACCTTGAAAATGTAGGAAACAGCAACACAATGAACTGGCAAAGCAGTCTGTCTTGTGATGAGGGCTTCTGTTACTACAGAAATTTCTGTAGCTGTCATCTATCTTATTTTTTGTTCAACTGACACTTAACAAGTATGTGTAATGAAGAAAACAGTAAGAAGCTGGGTACCCTGTATTAGGGTATATGTAATTCGTCATGGTTTAGGAATGGTATTCTCCAGTTTAGTGTTTGCACTGATACACTCCAAACCACGCACTACTTGCTCACTCCCTCTCCTTCTCCCCTTGCAGCAGGCTGGAGAGGAGAATTAGAGGTACAAAAAGTAAAGATCATGGATTGAGATAAGAACAATTTACTAGACACAACGAGACAAGAAACTAACTGTAACAGCAACAATACTAGTAACAGTGTACAAGAAAGGTGAACGATCCACATGCAAGTGCTCACCACAGGAAAACCAGCAATATCCTGTGCCCAGCATGCCCAGCATGACCCTGTCTCCCCTCCTTGCCACCACTGGCAATGATGTGAGGTGGTATAGGATAACCTCAGGGTCCTAGCCATGCCCCTCCTTGATACTGCAAAAATTGGCCAGAACCAGGACATAGTTGTACTATACATGAGCAAGAACTGCACAGGTTATTTCTCAAAGTATATCTCTTGGTGTTACCAGGTAACAGTTACTGTAAGTTATGTGTTGAGAAGAGGTCTGTGTGGAAGTAAGAGTAAAGGTTTGTCTAAGCATTGTATGTATAAATATCCCAATATCTCATGGCAGAGCATGGTAATGGAGATTTAAGATAAGGGTCAACTTCTGTGTGAGTAATATGGTTTATGATAAAACAATTGCATGGAAAACAGAAAAAAAATAGTATCAACTCAAGTTTATGCTGTATTCTGTAATCAGTACTATGTGCTTGAGTAATACACAGAGCTGAAGTACAAAATGTTTTAAACAAACACAGTTCAAGTGGTGAATATTAAGTAACATCTCGTAAAACTACAATGTTTTGCAGTAATATTAAGCCAAGTTATTTCAGAATCTATGATTCTTCACTATTAAATCGTTATACTGTTTTCAGCAATGAAAAGGTTTATATAGACAGTCCATGAGCAACTGAGACTGGTAACAGAAAAAAATTAATTACAATATCTTGTACATTATTGTAACATAATGCCTGTAGCAAAGTTACATTATGAACTGCCAATGATTTCATCTAGTTTTTGAATGCAAATATACAGCAAATTAAATTATTTTTTTAGTGGAAGTGCAGAAATAAGGTGACTACTGCAGATATATATATAAAGAGATAATACATGAACTTCTGTTCAATTGTAAACTTACATTGCAATGTCTGTCTTGCTAGGAAGCTACAGGAACAAAAGATGACATCTTTTTAAAATGAGGGTTAGAACTGAGAGCCACAAGCTTGTTACAGATACAGAGCAGCTCTGTAGAAAACTTGAAAAGAGCTTCTGTAACTTTACTTAAGGTAATTCAGCAGCTGAGCAAGGATGTAATTTGATCATGTTTTGAAAGTTGTGTGAGCAGAGCATGGTGAGCTCATTGATAGGAGGAAATTCAGAATTGAGAGGAGACCTTGTATGAAACCTTTCTGAAGGCACTTTCATTTGGGAGCATTTTATTGTAGTAAAGTGGACCAGGTTTTGGATGTAAGATGCCTGTGGACATACCTGGCTCATGAGAAGGGCTTGATCTTACTTAACCTATTTTCTTTTTGACATCCATGACTGGGTTGGGCTTTTTTTTGCTTTCTATCAGTGTGAATTAGCAGATATTGCCCACTGTTTTTCTTGATAAGCAGCTTCAGCTGCTGAGTTTTTATTCTTTTGGCTGAAACTGTAAGCTTTAATGAATGGTTTGAATTGTTGGTGATCTCTGTGCTGTAAAGGTGGAACTTAGTGAATATCCTTGTGTTTTAAGAAAATGCAATCTTTTAAGATTCCTTTAAATTCAAAGAACGCTTCTTTAAGAACTATAGTATAAAGTGAAGTTTTTTAAATCCAGTAAGTAATGTTTTTATTGTTGATATATCTTTAATAAGAATATCTGATGAATTGAGAAGTCATTATTTACATACATATTCTGAAGCTTAATATATACTGGCGTTCTAACTGATACACAGTTAAGTTTGGCAACACAGAGAATGCATTTTATTAGAGTCAAGGATAGAGTATGGAGAAGTCTTTTTAAACATGTGCTTCCAAGGTACTGTTACCACTCGTAACTATTTTTACAGTAAAATAATATTGTTCTGTGAGCCACAGATTATGATACGATCCCATGAAATATTTTGTGATGTAAGAATTAGAATATTATGACAAATGGGAGGAAAGTGTTACCATTTTTTATAGGATTTAAGCCTCCTGATGATGCCTTAAACCCCAATGGTTTTCTTATTTTTCTACCTTATAAGTTTTATAGGTAATAGAAGTAGATTTTAGAAACCCCTTTCTCCCTCCTCCCCGTAGTACCCCTTAGTTTATACATTCCTTAATCCTCTCACCCCATTCCATACTCCCCATATCAACCCTATTCCCATATCCAGTAGAAGATGTTTTGTCTCTTGTCAAGGCAAGCCTGTCTTGTTTGGAGAACGCTTGTATCTTGGCCTAAACCGCAGGACAGAGTCAAGGAATTGGGTGACTCTGCTCTCTGTACCCCGAAGATGATGAAGGATGATGAAGAGGGGGTCCCAAAAAGCCCCCCAACCCAATTCCAGGAGGCGGGCCAGGGGGTGGACCAGGCCAAAAGTTATAGGGTGGACACACTTGGGATTGGCCAGATATTGTTATAAATGTAACATCTCGGGCACAGCCTGGCGCGCGCGTCGTTTACCATCTCTTGCCTTGGCACAATTAAACCCTTTCTTATCTCACCCCAACTAACGGCTCCTGGATTTTTTCTTAGTACCAGCTGAGCAGGCATCATGAAAACGGCAGTTGATGCAGTTCATATATTAAAACATCACATTGTGTGTACCAAAAACCAAGATGTAAGTTGAGTTGGGACATGATGAAAATACTTTCCGGGTAAAACTTCATACGAGTTTCCAGTTTCTAGTAACTTGCTATTACAATTATATCTTAATATTTCCTTGGAGCATTATACAAATATTTTCATTTAAATCAAGAAACTAAACAGTCCTTTTTTTTCCTTTACGTAGCAGATGGTACGTGAACAATACACTACGACGACACCAGGCACTAGCCTAGAGAGGCCGAAGAATGAATATGTCTACAAAATTGGAATTTATGGCTGGAGAAAGCGTTGCCTCTACCTGTTTGTTCTCCTCCTGCTTATCATCCTAGTTGTGAATTTTTCTTTGACAATTTGGATTCTTAAAGTGATGTGGTTTTCCCCAGTAAGTGTCCTTTTTAATTTTCCATTCTTCTCATTTTCTCTTCCTTTCCCTGCCTCATCAATTCACTTATTTTGTATGTACATCAGCTTCTCTGTATTTAATAGATGTTTCTTTTTTCTTTCTTCCCAACTGTGATTTGTACTTTGGTTGAAAGTATTTCAGAAATATCTATCTTTGAACAAATTTCCTCATATGTAATTTCTGTACTGACAATAATTTTTGAAATACTGAGGTTGTTGATACCTTATATTGCAATGAATTCTAACCATTCTATGAGAATGTGTTTTACTGCTGTGTCATAGTCTCTGCTTAGTTGATATTTTATAAACGTGTTTGCTGTAATTTTATCTCATACAGAATTCCTTAGTGTTAAAATATTGCAGACAATTTATGGTTATTTAGCTTCTCCTATTTATCAGCATCTAAAATTTAACAATTTATTTGCCCAGTTAATTACAACTCAGAAGTAATTATCACTACATCACGCTTGAAGCTAAGCAGCTATATAATTCGGAAATAAATTTCATAGTTTTCCACTGTCATAAAATATAATTTTGCGTGTAGTAGGTTAAAGGATAAGTTTTAGAAGTCTGCAAGATATGGCTTTAGTTATGCAATAAAATGCATCAGTGAATATTGAAGCTAAGCTAATTTGTTCCAAACATGCAGTTGTGATACACAGATGATTTGAGTAGACTTGTTACAAGAAAAACAATAATAATAAACTTCTACATTCTGCCCTGGCTACTGAAGAAAGTAGCTAAAGTTTCCATTATCTATTGTTATTACACTTCTGTCACTAAATGAAGACCAGTTCTAGGGAAATAAATAATTTTCAGCTAAATATCAACTATAAATACATTTGTGCAAAGTGCATGTGTATGTCACAATACTCAGAAAAAGTATATGACACCATTACAAACGTCATTAAGAACTTTTTACTGAGTATTGTTTTAATAACTATATCTGTCAATACAAGAATTAACTCTGAAGGTACCCAGACAATCATAGAGAAGCGCTGCTAGCTGCTAAGTCTAAGAGTGTAGATGTTAACTGCATGTTCAAAGTCTAGAAGTATAATTAGGGAAACAGTTTTTCAGTATTGTGCTTTAATGATTGATCAACCTGGTTCTACAGCCCTTTCATGAGCCCACTCAAAGTTGACCAACTTGTTATTTTGACATTGAAGTTTCTTCTATAGTATGAAAATTGTTCTCTTTTTCTGCAAAGCATCCTTAAATCTTTCATCAAATAATAACTTGCAGTATACAAAAATCACATGCTATGTCTATTCAGAGATCCAAATTAAAATAATGATGAAATTATAAACAGAGCTTCAACAAGCTCTGGCCTAGAATTAATCTATGCACACATGTCCTGTCTGAAACCCTAAAAAATCAGACAGTGTTATAAATACTAGCCAAGAAGCTAAGCTGGTAAAGGAGAACATGAACCAGACACAGATATGCTGCAAGAGGAATAGATTTTGATCTCCTTGTAGGAATTTGGAAGAATGATAAAAGACAGAAAATTTTCTAAACCCCATTGTTTGAGAAGCCTTCAGCATTAAATGAAGATAAGTTAAAGAGAATTTCATTCCATTTCATAAAATCTAGACTAAAAGAGAACAACCTGAACAGAGAATATATTCTTTTTCTCATACTGCCCCAATTATAAAACATATGAGCATCTCCAAATTGTGCACATTGATTCACAGGTATCAGATATATCTCATTCTTTTTTTCCTTTTCTCTCTTGGAGTTCAGGGGGACAGAGTCTCAAGTTTTTTTGTGCAAGTGAGAGAAGAAACCTGTGAATTCATTATATTCAGTTGTTTCAGAGAAAAAAGAATCAAATAATTTTGCCTTGAGGTTGTTGAATAAGGTGAAATAGAGTAATTTAAAAACTAGCATTATTTTTGCATGAAAATCAGTTTGAAAAATGGTTGGCTTTTTTCCCCCTGGACAACATCAAATTTTGCATGTAATGGAAATTCCACATTCTGTTCTTAACATAATGAAGCTTTCTGAGAACTAAAGGGGACTGCTAGCTGTAAAAGTTTAGAAACTAAGAATCATGAGGGATCTAGGGCTACAACAAGGCAAGGATGTCAGAAGTCCTGTGGGCAATTCTGAAGGGTCCAGTAAATCTGAAAGAGGGGAACTTTAATGTTTCTCGTGTCTGCTGAAAGGACAAGTGTGGCAGGATCGAAGCAGTGAAGATTTCTAGAAGGTGTCAGTAGTAGTTTCTCGATAGGACAGTTAAAGGTGGCACACAGCTGGCTCTGCAACTTGTGGGATCCCATGGGACCCAGATCTGATAAGTTAATCTGAAAAGCTTGATGAAGTTTAAGGACAGTATCTTCCAAATGTAGGAATGATCTGTCCTGATATTCAGGAAGATGAGTAGCCTGGCTTAGCTAGGCAGGTTACTTGTGATGGAGCTTCAATGCAAAAAGCAATATTACAGAATATTCTGAGTTGGAAGGGAACCACCATAGAGTTCAACTCAAGTGAATGGCCTGTACAGGGATTGACCCCACAACCTTGGTGTTATTAGCATCATGCTCTAACCAGCTGAGCTGATCTCAGGGTATAGAAGAGTTGGAAGCAAAGACAGTCTACAAAGAAGAAATTTAGAAACATTTTCTGGGCCAGGAAATGTGTCAGGCTTCCTGTCCAGGAAAGCCAAAACTTAGCCTCAGTTAAGAATTACAGAGAGCAAATGGCAACAAGGTGGTCTGCATCCATAGGTGCAGAGAGAACTGTCTGATTCCGTTGCAAAGTCACCCTCTGCAATGTTTGACAGGTTTTGGAGACTGGGGAAACCCTCGATGACTGGGGGAGTGCAAGTGTTGCACTTGTGTTCAAAAAAGGAGGCCATGGATTTACTAAGGGTGAATGATGCTTGACCAATGTGATTACCTTCTATGATAAAATGTCTGAAATTAGGGAGGGCACGAGATATCATTTACCCTGATTTCACCAAGGCTTTTGACTCTCTCTCCCACAATATTCTTGAACCCTAGTTAGGAGATTACAGCCATGAAAAGTGGACAAACAGCTAAGTATAAAAAATAAACTGCCTGGATAGTCAGGCTTGGAAGGTAGATACTAATGTATTGTAGTCTACATGGAGGCCAGTAATAAGCACTGCAGTTGTCTTGTCACTGGTACTTTTCAACAACTTTATCAATTACTTGAAAGAGGTGACAGAATGCTTGCTCACTAAATTTGCAGATTATACCAATTTGGGTGTACCATTCAACACTTTCAAGGCTCAGGCTGCCATTCAGAGCAGCTTAGACAGGCTGGAGGTATGCTAGTCCTATTCCAGGATTGTCTAGTGCTCTAAAACTCAGGTGTGAAAAATGCACCCAGGCAGATTATTACCATTTCTGATGCGCTAGCAAATCTTATTCAGAAACCCCTGATTAATTCAGTTATTATATTATTTAGGTTTTTCTATATTATCATAACACCAGGAACAGTTGTGTGTCAAAGATTATTCCTAACGTGTCTTAGCCTCTGATGGAGAAGCCCATGTTTTCCATGGATTTTAGTAGATGCCCCAGCTATCATGGTCTCCTGGAATAAGAAAGGTGATTGTGCTCTTTTATGTTGATAAGGACAGATAGTAATGCAACTGGAGTATTCCCCAGGGTAACTAGTTGCCTTCCTTCAGCATGGAGTTTGGCACATAGCACCAGCTTTTCTCTGGCAAAAACTTTAGGCACAGTGTAAGAGAAGTAAACAGGTTTTTATAGTTCTAAATGCACTGTCAGTCAAACATGATTTGAATTTGCACTCAATCCCAAGTTTTTCTGCCATCCATGTTAAACCTTACTTGGGTTTGAGTCACTTGCAAAAAGAAAGTCAAGTACCAATTCTAAGCCTTAGAACACCACAAGCCATCAGGACAGGAATTAACTAGGTATATGGAGGGCCAAAGCACACAGTATCCAGTCCATCAATGCATATTCTAAGCATGGTTTTTCCTGAGAACAGGACAAATGCTGAACCTGCTCTTGTGCCTGCACTTCTGTGGGACATAGAGACATAGGCAACAAGAATTGGGAGGGTCTCTGCACATTTAAGCTAGAGCATGGACTTCACTTTTATGCACATAAATTTCTGGCACTGGAGTAAAAAGGAAAATTGCTACAGTTAAACAAAAAATTACAGGGTTTTCCAAATATTATTTGCAGATGTCTTCTTCTGTAGCTTACTTGTAATTAATGAGTCCTCTACCCATGTAGCTATTCCCAGAAATTTTATCACAGATATAGCACCTTTTAATCTTTTTGGGTTCTGATAAGCAATTAACAATGAATATAGACAAAGTATTAAAAATTATTTTTTAATTATTCCAAAGTTTTCTATAAGGCAATAACAATTTCTTGATATTTTGGCAATAACAATTTGTTAATATTTCATTTAATAAGAAATGTTGAAAAGGAAACTATATATAATCTTGCTATATATACATATTGGTTGGCTGATAATGATGCTGGTCTAAACCTACAAATACCATATGTATTTTGAAATAAAATAACTGATTTTATAATCAAATACTTGTGTAAACAACTATTTAAACAATTGACAAATTCAGGCAACAAAGACGGAGGGAATTACTTAAAGAAATATAAAATACAAAACTAGGAATGTGATTAATTAAGAAAGCAATATTTTAACAGGTAACACTTTCTGACAGTAAGACTTACTACACTGTGTAATATCATGCCTTATTAAATTGGAGATGCTCAATTGTTTGAAACATTTAAAATCGGACCAGACAGCAATGAAAATGTACAGTAAAGAACACTCATTCACAGCAAGTTCTCCTTCACTACAAAGACATATACTAGTGAACTTCTACAGCCTTTCCATGCATTTTGTGATTAACAGTGGATGCTCCATGGAATTAGTTGCCATTGTGAGAATGTTGCACTATTTTAATGCTCAAATGAAATAAATTATTTAATTATTTACAAATCTCAT